CACTTCTTTAGTGAACCTGTACTTGGCCTCTCTGTAGCAGTCCCTGTCTCCGCTTCTGGTATGGTATGGTATTCTGAATGGTATGTACCACCGGCAGATAAAAGAGGTGGCTGACATCCAGAAATCCTACCAGCAGCTGGACAAAGCTGGACTGAACAAGCTCTGGAACAAGCTCTGAGCACAAGATCCATAGAGGCTGGGGTCTATCACACCAGGCAAGACCCCAGGTGCAGGCTGTGTAAAGGTGCCCCTGAGACAATCCAGCACATAACAGCAATGGTGCTAGATGCTAACACATGGCGGATCACTCAGTGATATCTGGCCTTACAGATACCACCTTCCTGGTTGAGAACCATGGCCTCTGACCTGAGGGTGATGATTCTCATTTGAGATGTTTCACACTCAGAAACCACCCCAGTACAAGCTGAAGGTTATTGCTCAATGAAACCACCAAAACCACATCTCCAAAGGTGGATTCTGTTAACCTGGACGTAGCGTTTTCAGTGGGAGAAACGTTTCGTCACTCATCCAAGTGACTTCTTCAGTCTCAGCTGACTGCAGGTTTCTTATATACACCACATTTGCATAATGACGGAAACCAGCCCACTGAAGGAACAATGGGCGGTGAGGTCAGTTCCTTCAACATGATTATGCAAATTCTCATGACCATTTATCAACAACCACTGATCAAAAACCACTGATCAAAAACCACTAATCAATGGTCTTTGGTCTCCATTTGACGCAATGCATTATCAGGGACACAACACTGTCAGCAGCTTTTCGCAGTCATCCTTTCAAGCTGGTTCTGAAGACTAGGGGACTGTCTAGCCTGCTCACACTTTTAAAAATAAACCATGAACCTGCTTGAATAACTTTTTATCTATATATTCAGAGTGGAATTTATTTTTATTGAGTCATTATGGCTAAAGTAGAGCTTCTAAGGCAGTTATAAATGTATTTCTGTGAGTGTCTTCAGTCAAACATTAACTTCCAATTATGAAAGTTATAATGTTTCCTGAAGAAATGCATGAAGCATTATCTTGAGACAATATTTCACCCTGAAATCCATGTGTTTCTAACATTAACATGGGTATTTGTAGACACAGGTTTATAATTTGTTACTTGTTTGATACAGATATGGTGGTTCCAGTACCAGAGCCTCGCCCCATCATGTTTTACAAGCAGATGCTTCAATCAAACTTCCAGGACAAGTTCATGTGCGCACAAGAAGGGTGGACAGAAGATAAATTGCATCTAACTGATATCTACACAGAGCTGTACATCACAGCTGGGTATGATGTACATATCAACACACAGCATGAGGTCCGGCAGATTGAGAAAGTATGGAAGCCAGCAGAGCCAGAGAAACCTATTAGACCCACAGACATGTT